AACTGGGATACAACAAAATGCCATAAAACCCAACTGAGACACTGTAAAACAGCAAACACAGGCAGGAATGACAGCAGGAAATGAGAGGATTGAACTCAACACTGCACCTGGCTTGGGTGGGAAGGGACCTCGAGGATCATCCAGTTCCAGCCCCTGCCGTGGGCAGGGACACCTTCCACTATCCCAGGTTCCAACCTGGCCTTGGGGACTTCCAGGGATGGATGTCCCAAGATGAAAACCTTGGGAAAACACTGAGGTGACCCTGAGCTTTCCAAAGGTGACCCAAAGGTGACCCTGAGCTTTCCAAAGGCGTCGTTGTCACATCCTCAGGGGAAAGAAAAACATTTTGCCAACCCCATGGAAATTTAAATTAAAGAGATTAACAACTCCTCTCTCGCCTTTTCCCCACAAAATCAGGGAATTCGAAGTTGGCTGTAAGAGGTTTTAAGGAGCAATTGTGATGTGGATGGAGCAGGAGGGGAGGCAAAGCCTGAGTTCACCGGGAATGCTCGTGGGAAGAGGGTTTAAAACTGCGCCCAAACAGCACCAGAGCTCAGAGACCAACCCCCCCCAGCCCCTCCTGAGGGACAAACCCCAAATTCTGGGAACCACAGAGACACTTCCAGGGCAGGAGGAAACAGTAATAAAAACATAAAGCACAGATCCAAGTCTTGAAGAGGCAAAACATCTCCCCACGCTGGGAAAATCATCTGGAGCTGAAGGAAAGCCAAGACTCAGGAACCCCAAATGGAGGAAGAGTCTGGAGCCCAATTAGTTCTGCCCTGTAATTATTATTCACCCTGGAAAGGTCCTGAGCCACATTTATACCCCCTTTTTGGGTGTATTAACATATACTCAGTCACAGCCCTTTTTTATACACAATTTATAGCCCTTTTTTGGGTGTATTAAAGGGGGGGGTGAGTGATTAACCCATTTCGACTCCATCCCAAACTCCTGCACAAAGGGAAGCCAGGGGAGGAAAATAAAAGGGGAAAGTAAAACAGGGGAGGGAAAATAAAAGGGAAAAATAAAAAAGGGGGGGGAAACAGGGGTGAAGGAATGAAGGGGGAAAATGGGGGGGTGAAGGGGAAAAAAGGGGAGATGAGGAAGAGAGAAAAGGGGGGATGGAGGAGAGAAAAAGGGGAGTGAAGGGGGATAAAAAGGTGGATGAAGAGGGGGAAAAAAAAGGAGGGGTGAAGGGGAACTTCATCGAGGTTGGGCTTGATGATCTCACAGGTCTTTTCCAAGCTAATTCTGTGATTCTGAGGGAAAAAAAAGGAGGTGTGAAAAGGGGGAAAAAAAAGGGAAGAGGGCAAAGGGGGGTGAAGTGGAAAAAAAAGGGGGATGAAGGGGAAAAAAAAGGTGGGAAAGGGGGATGAAGGGAAACTTCATCAAGGTTGGACTCAATGATCTGAGAGGTCTTTTCCAACCTAATTGCTTCTGTGATTCTGGGGGGAAAAGAAAGGGGGATGAAGAGGAAAAAAATGGCTCTGTGATTCTGGGAGGAAAGGGAAAAGGAAAGAGGGGATGAAGTGGAGGAAAAAGGGAAGGTGAAGATGAAAAAAAGGGGGGTGAAAACAAAAAAAAGAGGAATAAAGGGGAAAAAAGGGAGGGACAAAGGGGCAAAAAAAGGAGGACGAAGGAGAAAAAAGTGGGGGTGGAGGGGAAAAAAAGGGGGCAGAAAGGGGAAAAAAGGGGGGGAGAAAGGGGAAGAAAAAAAAGGTGATACAGGCCAAGGGGTGGGTATAGAAGGGGTCCACAAAAAAGGAGGATAAGGAAACAAGGGGAGGTTTGAGGGAAACAGGGGGGATCAAGATAAAAAAGGAAGGGCAAGGATGACGGGGCGAAACACAGGGAGGATGGAGGAGAAAAAAGGCGGGGTGAATGGGAAACCAGGGGATGAGGCAAACCACCAGGGAGGGATAAAAGGGAAAAAAGGGGGTTACTGTGGGCTAACAAAGGGGGGGTACTACTTTGGCCACCACCAGGAGACTGCAGGAGAACACGGAGTGAGTTCATGTGACAAAAATATCGGGCAGACAGGGGGGAAAAAACGGAGTGATCAAAGAGGGGAAGAAGGGGGACGATGGGGTCTCACAACGGGGGCATAGAGGGTTCAAAAAAAAGAGGATGTAGGGGACAAAACGAGGGGGAGGGACAAAAAACCGTGTACCCCAAACACGGAACACGGGAACGGGGGGGTGATGGAAACGAGGGGATCAGGGGCAAAAGCGGAATGTACGCAACACGGAGCGATACAAGGGGCCAACACTGGTGTGGGGGGCCGATGGCAAAAAAATGCGGGATAAGGCGGGTGAAGAAGGGGGGAGGAATGGAAAAAAAACTGGTGTGGGGGGGTGAAGGCGAAAATAAAAGAAGGGCGAAGGGTAAAAAAAAAACCCAACAGGGGTGCGAGGGCTAAAAGGCGCCAAAACCCGGGGGGTGGGGGGGACACCCGAAACCATGAGGGAAAGCAGGCGAAGCGCAGCCCCGCCGCCGCCGCCGCCCGCGGCCCAACTTCCCCGCCCGGGCCGGCGCCGGGGCCGCCCCGCTCCCTGCCCCTCGCCCCTCGTCCCCCCCCCGCCTCGCCCCTGCCCCGGCCCCGCCGCCCCCGGCGCGGGCCGGCCCCGCGGGCCCCATGTTGTCCGAGGCCGGCGGGGGAGAGCGGGCGGCGGGGGCCCCGCCGTTGGTGCGGCTGCGCCGGGGCCGGAGGAGATTGCGCGGTAGGACGCTCACCTCAGAGCGGCTGCGCTGCTGCGGCGGCGGGGCCCGCGCCGCGGGGCCGCGGGGGGACGGAGCGGGCGCGGCGCGGCGGGCGGAGCGGGGGGCGAGCGCGGCGCCGGTCGGCCTCGGGCCGCCGCGGTGGCGGAGCGCGGGAGGCGGGCACCGGCGGCGGCGGCGGCGGCGGCGGCGGAGGAGGCCGGGGACAGCGAGGGGGGGGGAGCGGGACGTATGGCGTCATAGCGCCGCGCCGCCGCCATCTTGGGCAGGGACGGGGGGCGGCGGGGCGGCCATGAGGGGGAGGGAGGGTGGGTGGGGGGACGTCTTGGGGAGGGGGCGAGGGGGTGAAGGGGGCGCCGCCATCTTGGGGAGGTCGCGGGAGGTCGCCCCCCTCAGAGGTTCGCTTGAGGAGGAGAAACTCCGCAGAAGATGGGGGTTAATGAGGGGAAGGACGTGAGGCGAGTCCAGAGGAGGGCACGGAGATGCTCTGAGGGCTGGAACCCCTCTGCCCTGGAGCCAGGCTGGGAGAGCTGGGGGGGTTCCCCTGGAGAAGAGAAGGCTCCAGGGAGAGCTGAGAGCCCCTGGCAGGGCCTAAAGGGGCTCCAGGAGAGCTGGAGAGGGACTGGGGACAAGGTCTGGAGGGACAGGACACAGGGAATGGCTTCCCAGTGCCAGAGGGCAGGGTTAGGTGGGATATTGGGAAGGAATTCCTGGCTGGGAGGGTGGGGAGGCCCTGGCACGGTGGGATCCCGGCCTCGGCCATTGGGGTGGGAAAGGCCGGTTTCAAGGGATTTTTTGGTCTCGGTTTTATTGTGGGAAAGTCCGGTTTAAAACAGGGCAGGTTTCCATTTTGTTTGGGAAAACCCACTTTAAAATAGATTTTTTTTTCCCCTCCATTTTTGGAGAAAAATCCAGTTTAAAATGGATATTGTTGAAAAATCCAGTTTCAAGTAGATTCCTCTCCCCCATTATTTTTTTTTTTTAAAGTGGAAAAATCCAGTTCTAAGTCGAAATTGTGGGGAAATCCAGTTTAAAATGGACACTTTGTCAATAGGATTTTTTTTTGAGGGAAAATCCAGTTTAAAATAGATGGGTTTTTCTCTGTTCTGTGTGGAACAGCCCAGTCTGAAATGGATTCTTCTATTTTGTGGAAAATTCCAGTTAAAAGTGGAAATTGTGGGAAAATCCAGTTAAAAATGGACATTTTCTCAATTTTTTCTGGTGTTAAAAAATCCAGTTTTAAATGGAAGTTGTGGGGAAAAAATCAGTTTAAAATAAACATTTCTTCCATTTTTTTCGTGGAAAAAGTCCAGTTTAAAATTGAAATAGTGGGAAAATCCACCTTAAAATTAATTTTTCCCCCCATTTTGTGTGGAAAAATGCAGCTTAAAATAAATTTTTTCTTGTCCTTTTTCTGGGGGGGACGACAATCCAGTTTAAAATGAAAATTGTGGGAAAAATCCGTTTTAAAATTGAATTTTTTTTTTTCCATTTTGAGTGGAGAAGTCAAGTTTAAACTGGACTTTTTTTGTCCATTTTGTATGGAACAATCCAGTTTAAAATGCGTTTCTTTTTTGTCCTTGTTTTTTTTTTTTTTTGGTGGAACAATCCAGTTTAAAATTGAAATCGTGGAAAATCCCACGTTTAAAACGAAATTTTTTTCCCTTTTTTTTTTTTAGGTGAAAAAAATCCAGTTTAAAGGGATTTTTTTTTTTTTTTGGTCCATTTCGTATGGAAAAATCCAGTTCAAAATGGACAGTGTTTCGTTTCTTTGTGGAACAATCCAGTTTAACGCGTATTTTTTTTTTTCCTTTTTTTTTGTGGGAAAATCTGGTTTCAAATGGCCATGAGGGGGAGGGAAAGGAGGGGCCGCCGCCATCTTGGGGAGGGCGTGAGGGGCGAGGGGCCGCCGCCATCTTGGGGAGGGCGGGCGAGCGAGGTGTCCCCTCAGAGCTTCGCTTGAGGAGGAAAAACTCCCCAGAAAATGGGAATTAATGAGGAGAAAGACGTGAGGCGAGTCCAGAGGAGGGCACGGAGCTGCTGCCAGGGCTGGATCCCTCTGCTCTGGAGCCAGGCTGGGAGAGCTGGGGGGGTTACCCAGAGGAGAGAAGGCTCCAGGGAGAGCTGAGAGCCCCTGGCAGGGCCTGAAGGGGCTCCAGGAGAGCTGGAGAGGGACTGGGGACAAGGCCTGGAGGGACAGGACACAGGGAATGGCTTCCCAGTGCCAGAGGGTTAGATGGGATATTGGGAAGGAATTCCTGGCTGGGAGGGTGAGAAGACCCTGGCACAGGTTTTCCAGAGAAGCTGTGGCTGCCCCTGGATCCCTGGGAGTGTCCAAGGAGCAGGGTCAGAATCAGGGTTACAGCAGAAGGGGGAACTGTGCTACAGCTCTGGAGATCTCAGTTCTCATCAGTGGGGGGAAGTTTGCATGGTGTGGGGGTCTGGAAGATTCCCAGGACAGGGGCCAAGCCCCTTGTTTTGGGGTGTGATTATCCAACAAAATGGGGTGGGAATGTGCAGCAACACAAGCCATGGGTGACGTATCTTGGGAACACTTTAACTGGGCACAACAGCTTTCCCTGTGGGTCCTTCTGCAGCCACCAATCCAGTCTGGATTTTGGGCTCACCCTAGTTCTTCCCTGCCTCCCATAACCATGGATTGTTTCTGTTCTGCCAGTTCCCCGAGTATTTGGGAATAAAAGAGGGCAGTGCTGGATCAGGGCCATTCCCTCATCTCCAACAGCAGTGGCAGTAACAGCTCTTGAGAGACAAAGAGCCCACTTAGACTGTGCTGGATGGCTTTTCCAACATTCCCTGCAGTGGATTTTATGGCAACAACAACTACTGGGGAGACAAGGCTGAGGCTGTGAAGAGGGAGGAGTGGGGTGGGAGCCAGGCTGAGCTCACCGCTGTGCAGGACTGATAAGCTGACCACGGAACTCCAGCTCAGCTCCACTCCCCCATGTCAGAGACACCCCCATGGTGAAGTCACGAGGTATTTTTGTCCCCTGAGGTGCCTCAAGGCCCAGCCTGGGTGTTTGCCTTTCAGACAGATGAATATACCCCGCAGTTTTACCCTCGTCATCCAAGACACTGGAGACACAGAGCTCTTCCAGTTTTCTCCCCCCCCTTTGCGTGGCCTTCAGCCCAAATTCCTTAGGACTAAGCCATGGCCGTGCTGGTTTCCCACGTGAAGGACTTACATTTCTGTAGCCACACCACATTTTAATTTGCTTTCTCAGCAAAATCTTTATATTAATCACAGGGAGTGGGGTTGGGCTCACTGGGTGTCCCTGCACCTGAACAGGACACCCAGGGCTGCTTTAAGCCCCTGCCTACATTTAATCAGAGGGATCCCATCCTGGGCTGCTCCTGCTGTAGATCCAGACAACTAGTCCAGGCACTGGTGCAGATGTTTGGATTTAGGAAAGACCAATCCCCTGAGTCTCAGTTTTATGACTCTCACGTGGAGACGGAAAACTGCAGGTCAGAGGTGTTAATTGTCACCTTGTGCTGATGAAACAGGGGCAGGGAGGGAAGCAACAGGAATAACAGGTTTAAAATATGTAAGATGGGAATTAAAGGGCGAAAGGAGTGGGATGTGTTACCCTAAAGAGCCAAAAGGAGGGAATTTGAAGGGACAGGACATAACAATCCTCACTTCATGGAAGATCAGGGTAAAGACAGCGACGAGCTGTGGGTTTGGGTGAGCTCAGGGCTAGCAGAGCTCTGCCATGTGCAGGCATGGGAATAGTCCTGGAGCTCCCTGGGAATGCCAGGGGACACTGGGAGGTCACCACTCTGAAATCCCACAGACCATTAAATCCTCTTTGATCTCTCCTGAGGAAGTTTTGCAGCGCCAGGTTGGGAAGAACTTTTAAGACCTGCCAAAACATTCCAAGAGCCCCCAGATGTGGTTCTAGGTGAGAAAAGCAAGGTACGTAAGAACTTGGAGTGTTTCCTACTCTGCTTCCTGGTGATGGCAGCAGGAATTGTGCAAACCCCGTGTGTAAGACAACGGGAAAGGAGGAGGAATCCATAAAAGTGTGCAGATTTGTAAGAGAACAGAGCCACTCCTTGGCCAGTTCCCAAAGGACAAGCTATAATTATCAGGTACTCCCTCAAACACTGCATCTATTTTCAGGAAGGGCTTCCTGGATAAAGTGTCTCAGGAGCCACAACAACAGGTGACAGAAGGAGGTCCCTCAGCTTTCAAGGGCACCAGCTCAGGCCGTGTCATCTGAGAGGAGCTGAAAAGCTCAGGGGTTACTCCTGGGATAAGACAAAGAGCCTCGTGCTTAGGAAGCTCCAGGATATCCCAGCCTGTTCTCCTGGGCCTTCACTGTCCCAGGGGCTTGACAAAACCTGCTGACAACCCCACCAAACTCTAGGGAAAAAAAAAAAGAGGAAACCTAATTATTGTAGCTAATCGTTCATCCAGAACAACTTGAATTCAGACATTGGGGTTGCAGCTCCTGGTTTAACATCTCAGGATGCTCAGAGAACTCTCCTCCCGGGCTGGTGGTTCCCATACTTCACACAACAGGCCATTCCTATAAAATGATGGGGGAAAAGCACCCCCAGGAGTTGTGTGGCCTGCTGGAATCACCCTGAGGGAGGAGATTTTCTGAAGTTAAATGTAATTTTTAGCCTCTACTAAGCAGCTATTAATAATACTAAATAATACTAATTCTTAATAATACTAAATAATACTAAATATAATACTAAATAATACTAAATATTTATAATACTAAATATTTATAATACTAAATATAATACTACTAAATATAATACTAAATAATACTAAATAATAATAATACTAAATAAAATACTAAATAATACTAAATATTTATAATACTAAATATAATACTAAATAATACTAAATATTTATAATACTAAATATAATACTAAATAATACTAAATATTTATAATACTATGTATAAAATACTAAAACTAAACTAAACTAGCTAACCAACCAAACTAACTAATACTAACTAAAACACTAAACAGTATTTCTGTTTCCTTCAATGATTCCTGTGCTCTGGTCTCCCTGGCAATGTTTCCTTTCAGACTGTAGGAGCACTTGGCCAATCCTTGCGATTCCAGCTATGAAAAATATTCCAACATCCAGCAGTAAATGCAGGTGAACTTTTAAACATTTAGGTCAAGAATTTCCCCCAAAGAGCAAAGTGGTCCCTTCCTGGCATGTGATCGTGGCCATTCCAAGGAATCTGCTGTCACCATGTGTTGCATTAAATATTTTCCTCATTTTTTTCCTTAAACATTTCTCTCTTTTAGTGCCAATTTCAGCCAGAAGTGCTGACACTAAGCCAGGCTTTTGCACAAAGAGGATTTCACACTTAGTTTGCTTCAGCTGAGTCGTGAATGTATCAGCCCTTAACAGTGAATTAAAAAAAATTGATTGTTTCTCCTCAAGTCATGTAGCAATAACCTATATGGGACACTGCAGACTTAAAGGCTTTTATTTTAAAATAATTAAATATTTTTTTAAACAAAATTATGTGGAGCCTAAAGCAAACAAACAAAAAAAATCAAGGGAAAAAGGAATTTTCTTCCCAGGATTCTCTTGTGGTCTGAGGCTGTTGGGGTGGGAAGGCCCTGTAAGATTCCTCCAAGGAGACTCCTGAATTCTCTGAGTATCTCCAGAAAATTACTGCATAATTATATAGTAAATGTCATATTTACAAGTATATAGTAATGTAATATATATATTAAGTATACAGTGGAGAACACACAAGGATGTAACAAAACCATCCAGAGTCTGGAATGGAAGACATTGATACTCACAGCAACTGTTCTGATATTTCACTCCTTTTGGTCCTTTGTGTGACAATTACAAGAGCAAAACACAGGAAAAAGCCCCCAACTTGTGCCTTTTTAAAAAATATACAGAAATCCTGGAAGAGAGAGGTTTATAAAACACAGTAAAGTTGTTTTTTTTTTTTGTTCCTGGAGGACACCTGAGGTGGCAGCAGGGAACCAGGATGGTGAAAAAAAGCAAATGAGGAAGGAGTTAACCCACTGTAAACTTCATTTTATTAACTTTGCTGACAATTCAGTGCCAACATTTAATATGCCTTTTGGAGGGAAGCTTTTCTTTAAAAATTCTCTTTGTTATGGAGATACCTTTTCTGAGGAGAAGAGTCCCTGGAGTTGGGAAGGAACAGCCAGGGCAGCTCCTCAAATGAGAACTGGGACAAAAGGATCCCTGTCCCTTCCCAAGCCTTTCTTCTGTGTCATAAAGATCCACTGTGCTTTTTTTTTTAATAGGTGAAAATAACAATAATAGGCAAAAATAACAATAATAGGTGAAAATAATAATGAGGAGATACCAGGCAATAGAGAAACACTGGCTGGAGGAAAGGGGGAAGATGGGAATCTGCTCACATCCAGCTTGATTCCTAACATGGTGAATATTATCCTTTATTAAACCTTAAATATGCAGATAGTTATCTCCAGCACCCACATCCCATAATAGTCCTGTGGCTCTCCCCACCCCCAAACACGCAGAGCAACATCCCCCGTGTTTTACCAGCGGGGTTTGGGTGCAACTTCCTGCAGGAAACGTGGGCCAACAGCACAGCACAGGGAGCCCCAAAAATGCTGGGCTGTGCCTCCCTGCCGGGCTGACAGCAGGAATTCCCATGGAACCTCTCCAGGCTGCAGGGCCCCCTCACCAAATCCTTGGGGGATCTGAGCATAGAATCACAGAATCCCAGAATCAGCTGGGTTGGAAGGGACCTCCGAGCTCATCCAGCCCAACCCTTGATCCAACCCCGCCGTGGTTCCCAGCCCATGGCACTGATGCCACATCCAGTCTGTCCTTAAACACCTCCAGGGACGGAGAATCCCCCCCTTCCCTGGGCAGCCCATTCCAATGGCTGAGCACCCTCTCTGCAAAGAAATTCTTCCTGATATCCAACCTAAACCTCCCCTGGCACAACTTGAGACCGAGCCCTCTTGTCTTGCTGATGGTTGCCTGGGAAAAGAGCCCGACCCCCCCCGGCTCCCCCCTCCTGGCAGGGAGTTGCAGAGAGTGAGGAGGTCTCCCCTGAGCCTCCTCCTCTCCAGGCTGAGCCCCCCCAGCTCCCTCAGCCTCTCCTCCCAGCACTTGGGCTCCAGTCCCTTCCCCAGCCTCACTGCTCTTCTCTGCCCCTGCTCCAGCCCCTCCAGGGCCTTCCTGAGCTCAGGGCCCAGAGCTGGACACAGCACTCCAGGGGTGGCCTCCCCAGTGCCCAGCCCAGGGGCAGAATCACTTCCCTGGACCTGTTGGCCACCCTGTTCCTGAGCCAGGCCAGGATCCATTGGCCTTCTTGCCCCCCTGGCCACACTCTGGCTCCTGTTCAACTTCTCATCAATCCAAACTCCCAGGTCCCTCTGCCTGGCAGAGCAGCCTTTATTCATCATAAGCTCAGCTTGAGTCCTGCACCCCAGCAGGGGGAAAAGCCCGACACAGAATCAAACTTCCAGGTTGGGAGAAACCAGAAATGGCTGGAAGGGTCATCCCAC